CATTTCGCCCCCGCCCGGCTTGAAGCGCCGGCGCCGCGGCCGCAACCGGCCGCCTCGGGGGCTTCGGGCCTCGTCCCTGCTGCGATGCCTCCTCTCAGGCTCAGCCGTTGCACCCCCAGAAAAGTTACTCAAACCTTGAGCTCCCTGCTGAATTAACTTATTGAAAGGCGTGTCCTTCTGGGTCCAAGCGAAAACCAGGTATTTTCAGAATTTTCCCTGAAATGACTAACTGGAATAAATTTGAAAATTTTCATTTTCACTGCAGAATCCTCCGGTACTTTGAATTTCAGTTTGGTTCCACTGTTCTTGAAATACCTGTAGAAGTCATGCGTGCTGATGTAAAAAAAAAAAAATACCTTTCTGTCAGGGCAGCTGTCTTTACCTGCCACCGTAAAAAGTAGCCTTTCAACCACTGTAAACCGTAATTAATGAAATAGAGTATGATGTAGAGAAATACAAATTTGAAACATACTTGATGCTTCAAAGTTAAAGTTGTTTTTTTCTGCAATGAAAATTTTCAGATTTTAAGACTATTTCAGGATACTTTTCTGAACAAGCTATCATCCAAAGCAATGTTTTGAACCTTTACACTTTGACAAAAGTGCCATTTTGTTGAGAAAACATTTCAGTGAAACTATTTCTACTAACCTCATTCCCCTGATGCTTTCTTATGCATGTCCCTATCCTCTCTTTTAGCCATTCTTCATCCACAATTATCTTCATGTAATTAATAATAAATAAAAACTAAAGATAGTAATTAGAAGAGCAATAAAACCTTAATATTGCTGACATTCTCCAAGGAGATGGTGAAGAATACCCATCCTCCAGTTTCTTAAAAAGCTCCCAGTTACATGCAGTCCATCCCTTTTGATGTTATTTTTGTAAATTAAAGGATAAAAACCATTACTGGTAAAGCTACTTCAGAAGCATTCAGCAAGAAGTCCATTAAAGAAGGAAAATTCCTATGCCCCTGTGACTGCTTGATCTTGATTTGAACACTTATTTTTTCATGACCTTCTGATCCGATTCAGCTGTTGCAGTTTTGAGTCAATCTGTTGGCTTGGGGTTTTGTTGCTTTAACTGGGAAGGTGCCACTCTGAATTGAGAGCTTTGTATCTTTTGTTGTGTGTTTTTTCCAGACAAAATCTTAACAGTCTAGGTGCTTAGGCACCTGCCTTAAATGCCCATGAAAGTCAGTAGGACTTAAGTTCTTTACAGTCAGATATTTAAAGGCCTAAAAATGCTTGGTACATCTTCAAAAGTGTCTAAATCAAGACTGGATGCCTGGGAGGCGCTGGGAGTAGGCACCTAACATGCTTATCAGGAGTTAGGTGCCTAACCTGCTTAGGCACTTAGTACCTTTATAAATCTAGACTTAGGTATCTAAACCATTTTTTAAATGAGGCTTATAAACTTAAACACTGAGGCACTATTGACAAATTCATAACTAATAAGACCTGGAGCTAACATAAGCAAAGAGCATCCTATAGAAAAAGGCTGCCTCTCCTGCAAATTTTTTTCATGAAATTCCTGGCTCTTGGCTTTGCCAATGCTTATATTTTCTAATCCCCTGTCCTTATGAAGGACCATAGCAATGTATACGGGAAGCTACCAAATACTCCTCAAAACCAAACTTATTAGATTTGTGAGCCTCCCAGTCAAAGTATGAATCAAACAGTTCTTGCATTTAAGATAGAACTTTTTTCACAGCTGGTCCAAAACTGTAAGCATATAGTCTTCCTAATTTCAAAAGCTATCCAGCCTTTGGTGGCTGGATCAAGGGATCCACTGTATTTTCAAAATCAAAATGGTTCTTTTACAACATAATTGCATGTGAAAAGTGTGTGTTATTTTTATTCTTGTTATGTTTTTCAGACCACATGAAAGTAATGTCCTATATAGTTAGAAATGAAATGCAAATTCTTTTAGAAAGTTTTGAGAAAGTGCTTAAGAAAATTGATACTGTTTACTCCAAAGGTGCTGATGCTTGCTTCAGTATTATCTGAAATTTGTTTCCAGATTGTATATATGAAAATTACTCAAGCCATTAATTCTTCTAAGGAGCGCTTTCCCTTTTTCTTCTACAAACTAGTGTCTGCTTATTTCAATTACATTGCTTCACTTTGATATCACTTAGATATTATTTATTCCCTCATGAATGAAATGTCTGGCATTACATTGATGGTTGAGAATGTTTACTAGCTATTGTAATAAGTGATGAGATTTTGAGTGAAAACAACCTGTATTGAGAGAAGAGTTAAATACGAATGTCCTGATCTGCCATACAGTCTGCACTATGCCATTCTCAGTGTACTTCCTTTATATATTAAAGGATGGTAGAGGAGGCAACAAATATATTCATTATTATTATTCATTTATTGCAATTTCCCACTAAATTACTATTCTCCCCCCCCCCCGATAACATTTATTGCTTGTCAGAGATTTATTTTCTGTAAGGGAAACAGATAGCCAAAGAAGAAGCCCATTAATAGACATCATAGGAGCAGAAGCTCTTTAAGAATTAGGAAGTGTTGTGCACAAGGGTAAACTTACTTAACGAAAACTTAAGCTACCTATGAGCTTGTTGAATAGTGCACAGCAATACTATGCAATGGTTCATTGCAGGAAGAAGGAACAAACAAATCCAAGTGAAATACATGTGGGAGGAAGTTATGTAACAGATATATAATTTTATAAAACATGTGAAGCAACAGAACTAGCCTAGTCCTTCACAAGCAAGTAATTCTCACTCATGCGGGTTAATCCATTATTAACTTTAATAGTCCTGCTGTAGTTATTAGTATACTAACATATACTAATCTATTTCTACACTTATATGTGGGAGGAATATTTTAATGAAAGATATGTTGGAGAACAAGGACTTGCAGAATTCATTCTCATTAATATTATGTATTTCCTTCTAATTCTGTATACGTTTTCAGATGCATCACCTTTTCTTTTCTTGCCTAAAGACTTCTATTTTCATTCTTGTAGCCTGAAGTATCATACAGCTACAGTTTGAGTTTGGAGATGTTGTTCAAATTTTTATCTAAGAAAGATCGTAATGAAACTTAAATGTGTCCATAATTTTGTTTATGTCAGATCAGCGAGTACCATCTTTCTGATGTCAGTACAAGTAATGGTGACTCTCTAAAGAACTTGGAAAAAGCACTTCACTATTATGAATGCAGTTTATAAGGAAAACCATAAAAAGTGCATACCTCTGAAAACCTATTAACTGGAGATCTCAAAAATAGATTAAAATGTGCATAAATGGATTTTAAAATACATGAATTCACCACAGAATAATGATGAGAGGGAGGCTTAATCTTCCATGTTACTGACTTTATCCATACTCGAGATTTAAGAGGTAAGAAATCTTCCAAGAGGAAATGACACTTAATTTTGATTTGCTCTCTACAAGAATAGTCTTTTATGTTTTTATATAATTGTCTTTTTATTAATTTGGGTGAGCAGAGTATGGTAATAGCAGACTAGGCACAGTTCTGATGTTCTTTTCTCCTATTTAGGGTTTGACAAAAACATTCAAGATTCCAGAAACCTACTACACTGAGGTCTTACCGTGTAACTATTTGCATGTAAGCTCACCAAAATACACAGTTTTTGAAAGCTAAATGTAAATGAAGTGAGTGACACTAATTCAGTCTAGCTGAAGATCTATCTGTACATTCATGAAAAAATCTCTCTGTGAAAACTTGTATGGAAACAGGGAGGGAGGAAGGAGGGAAGGGAGCAGGGGAGAGAGGAAGGAGGGACAGAAGGAGAGAAGGAAAGGAGGGAAGGGAGGAAAGGAAAGGAGTTGTGCAGACAGCACTGTTTTCATTTGTTTCAACAGTTTCAAGCAT